ATTTAGAGATGAGAGGAAAGTAGTCTAATAAAGAGGGTCGACAAGAGGTGTTTTCGTAAGCTGCAACCAATTGTTTTTATTTTCGTAATAATGTAATTTAAATAAATAAAAAAAGTAAATTCGTAGACATGGGCAAGGTGTAAAATGTAATCAGCTATTTTATTCGTCCGTAATTTGTACAAAGATATTAATTTTTGTAAGCGTATAAAGCATTTTCCAAATTAAATTCGTAATTCCCAATGTTTTATCAAATTATCCAAAATATTATATAAACGTAAAATGTAATTAGGAATTTGTTTTATCTGTAAGTGTAAAAACCTATTTTTTACTGTAAATGGAACTTTCATTTTATTTCCTGTAAAAACGTAAAATGCGGTTTTTATTTCCTGTAACCTGTACCAGCTATCCCCCTTGCCCCCTCAATAAACAGGTTGTTCATATGACAGTGGTTCACGATCGCCATAAAAATTGAGTAACGTCTAGGCTGACAATAATTCGACAGCGACAATTGACTCTGCGACAGTGCAGACTTCATTTTTCAGCTTAGCACTGGGTCACAATAAAAATAAGTCAAAATTCACATCGTTTCTTACTTAACAGTACTTCCTGGATAGCTGCTGTGTCTGTCTATGGAGACAATGGGGTTTTTATACCTACTGGCCTCGCTTTCAGTTCTTCTGAAACAGAAAGTGTTTGAGGGCGCTCAACTTATGAAAGGGGTCTCGACAACGACAATTGAATCTGCCGCGACAACGACCGCTAAACTTGGACAGAGCACCGTCCTTCAACACCGGAATTGGTTAGCGACATTTCGCCAAAAAAAACACATTTTGTCGAAAAAAGGGTTCATGAAGACGTGAATTGGTTATCCGCGTGCTTCATTCAAATCTAAAGCAGATTTTTCATTGGCCGGTGTAAAATAGGATTAATTCTAAGGTTGTGAAAAGTTTCCCTCTGTATTCCTTGGGTTCTGATTCTGAAAAGTGTACACTTCCTAGCTGACTGCGTCTAAACGGTTCGATGGCCAGATCTTGCATTCTGTAGTGACTAATAATAGCGCCTCGAGTCATTTTGCAACAATGTCGCATTTGAAGCGAGCAGACGGACGTCGTCACGGTAATCGCTACTGTTGATAGTCTTTTCAGCCAACTAAAATGTTAATGACCCCCTTCCCAGTTAAAGTCCCGGGGTTAAAGTCCACTTAAATCAATGGGGGTTACAGGTATTGTCTCCAAGGATAACAGAACCAGCGACTGAATAGTAGCTTCATCATTACTTGACCCATATACTAGTAGTTTTCTATAAAGTCTATGGTTAACTCCCCCCCCCCCCCACTTCGGCGGACAATAAATGAACACATTTATTGTGTAGTTTCAAAAAGACATCCGTGGCTTATTGTTGAGTTGTGTTTAAATTGCATAACCCTGTGTAATGGTGCTGCTAAAAACAACTTGTTGTATGTGTTGTGTAGTTACAATATCGTCATAGCAACCTTTCTGTGAATACAATGGTGTATGCAAATATGAGGGACAATATAAATGAAGATCAGTCAGAAACGACTTTAATGAGTTCACTCGATACCCAAGTAAGATGTTTCGTAACGTAATTTTCCTGTGTGTATTGTGTCTGTGTGTGGCCACGGCCAGGACGGCGACCAGACACAAGGAGAAGACGAAGATTCAAACAGCACTTGATGGTGGAAAATTTCGAAAAGTAAGCAAGGTATTTTTATTGAATTTACTTCCATCTGAGGTCACAGTCGTTGCTACTGACTCTAAAATTGACACATTTGTTTGTTTGATTTGTTTTCGGTTTGCCGAATATCCACATTCACTGCAAAAGGGGGGGGGTCAGATATTCTGTAAGAGTTACGAAGCATATTATAGAAGCCTACGATAGTGTCGGATTTAGAAGGGCGACCGGCCACACCCTCTGTTTGGCATATGAACTGATCCATGACAAACCACAGACCCTGCAATGTATAGTGGTGTGCGGCCAAACAACATAGAACGTTACATGACACATAGAATAGCCAGAAGGAAGGTGAGAAGGAAGACAAACAAATGACTAGTGCCGTAACTGTGAAAACTGAAGTATTGCTATATTCACACCTAAAAATGTAAAAATCATTTAGATACAAAATTGTGTTTACTCTTTGTATTCCGACTATATTTGCGTACATTGGTCGTCAAAACATTGTTACCATTGCATCATTTTATGATCTACTGTGAACATACTAGTACATGTTTTTAATTCATCGAAATTGTCTATCAAATGTGTACAGCACATTATTAAGCATGGAAATATCCCCCAAAATACATTTGCGTTTGTCGAAACCAACGCAATGTTTGTTGCCATTTACGAGGCTATGACCTTTGTCGTGTTTTTACGTTCGATTTCACGCATAACGCGGGATCTCGCAGTGAACGGAAAATGGTCTATTATAAGGCATCGCTTCCTAAGGCTTTTAACCTAATTCAAAAACCGAGATTCCAAATCAGCATATAGTCTAATATCAGTACTAAATATACTGTTATCTCATGGACATTTATATTTTCATAGTGTCAAACTTCGAGAATATGAAATAACCGTGCCGAGCCTGAGTGGTTTCGAAAATTTCATGGTGAATATCCTTCATCAGTTAGTTTGAGGCACAGTCACTTGGGGGCTGAAAATCAATAAATACTAATTTAAAAACAAAAATTATCCGCTATACGCATATAAATAAACAAGTTGTGAAACATGGCACCTAGTAAACCGACATTTTGTCGGTTTCAAATTTCGATTTCTTATTTTAAAATGCGAAACAAAAAGTTTAGAGGGGATCGGATGTTACGTTAATAACCATTGTTCATAATCGCTAATTTGGTTTTATTCAAAACTGCAGAAATCCTGCGTTTTATGGTGATATCAGACGATTTCATGAACGAAAATGGCCAGCAGCCAGAATCAAGGGGGATTCGCACAGAGTTATGGATAAATCAAGGAAATACTCGCTGTTACGGCACGCCTGATTGGCTGAAAATGAGTATGCGCACTTGATTTACCCAGAGCTCTGTGCGAACAAGGTGTCGATTCACTATGGTCCATGTTTCACAACTTGTTATTTATATGCGTATAGCGGATGATTTTTTTTTTTAATTAGTATTTATGATTTTCAGCCCCCAAGTGACTGTGGTTTGAGGCCGTGTTCGCATGGATCATTAGTTAAAGCGGGAGTGTCGTCACCTACGCACGCGCGGGAATTGAGAAATAAATAGTAATACTGTGAAAATATTATTATATAAATATTTGTTGGTGTTATTTTGTGGCAGCTGGTAAATTGCTTTTCATGAAATTTTCTCTTTTAGTGAAACAGTCGCTGATAAACTTGGCAATTGCTTGGACGGTTTCAGAATTTTTGTTCTTGAGAAGTGCTTTCAGATTACCGGATAAGTTTACGTTTTCAAACAAAACATCTCTTTCAAATTTGTACAGGTTACAATTGAAGAGGAAGTGTTCTTCTTCAATTTCATTGGAGTCACAGACAGGGCATGTTCTATTTAAGATATCTATGTTGTGATATCGCCCAACTTCAATTTGAAGTATGTGGGCACTTATCCTCAGTTTAGTTATAGATGATCTGTGGATGGGGTTTTTAATAATTTCAAGGTATTTTTCAAGTGCAAAATCAGTTTTCAGCTGTCTGTAGGTACGAAGTTTATTTTTTGTGATTAGTGCCTTTATTGTCATTATGCATTGTTTCTGTGCAGTGTTTCTCAAACATATTTTTTAGTTTTTTGTAGCTAATGGGATAATACTGTTTTTTTCGCAAACATCACTAATTTCTAAAAGGTTCAGTAATTTTATGCCTGTGGTCCAATTACTGATGTTTTCTTTGTCCAAATTGGTGCCAAGTTTGTAGGCCTCAGAGATCAGAGTGTTTTCATCCATATGTTTTATTTTCAGCCAGTAGTTAATCATACGTTTGATGCTTGAGATGATAAGTAGATATCTTCCCAGTTCAAGTAAACATGCCAAGTTTGTGGCTTTGTAAACAATGACACGCTATGGCCATCTGGCGCATGCGCAGGTGACGACTCCTCCGCTTTAACTTAGTACAATCGTATAGCAATTCTCCTGTTTTGTTTTTGAGTCAGCGAAATGGGCAATACTTGTATAACGAATAATTAGTTTAAGATATACTTGATAAGTACAACATATAAAAGCGTTTCTTTTCCCTGCTTGAAAATTGTTTGCTTGAAGGATAAACCTAGGAAAGACTAAGATAAGTCTTCTGGTTTATGGTACTGACAGGAAATACATATAAACAACAACTCAACTAAAAATTTGGTTGCTCGAGGGATTAACCGTAAAACTACCTTCAGGAAATCTTTATTGGTTACCGTACTTGCGTGTATGAAAGCGTCTATTGTTCAATCAATTTTTTACACATTTTATCTGTTTCCTGAGGATAAATGTGTTTCATTTTGTTGACTGGGTAATTTTTTTTGACGAACTGGTGTTTATGTGATCTTATACAGTGACTGTTATTGTTTTCACTATGGCACAATAGAGGTTTTTTATTTGCTCATCCAGCGTGATTGCATGGCCGAATTCATTAAATCTCTCTGTGTTCTTCGTTTCAGGCCATCATTAAAACCCGTGACATAGGTGAGTAACTCATTAAAATTGAATTTCTGGTGATAAAATAAAATAACGTTATGTTTTATAACAACGTAACCATGTGTATATTGTGTTTTTTGTCCCTACAGAGGGCCCAATGAAAATTACTTTATTGTATATTGGCCTACCCTCTATAAATAAAGTGTTAAATAAATAAATAAAACCAGTAGATACCATAGGATTAATGTACAACGACGCCTGAGACAATACTTTTTTAACAGATGCATGTATTTCGGTTCTGTCGGCAGTAGATTGTCCTATATGTATATGTTTCATGGACGCCGTCTAGTTGATAGCATATGAGGTCCATGTTACACGAAGAGCGCCGTCGACGGTGAAACTTAAGAATACCCCTTACTACGCATTGAACGTAGTCCCCTGACTTATTTTAGACAAAAAATAAATATAATATTAAAATTTGTATATACTATCTAGGGTGCAGATACCTCGATTGGTCGACGTCTTAAAATTATGTCTCAAGGTAGAACGCAACATATAGGTGAAACTATTGTTATAAGTTGAAAAAAAACTGAATTAAAAAATATGGAGTCATCTTACTCAGTTCAGATAGTATAAAGTGAAAATAGATTGTTTTGTCTGTTCTATCGTGTTTTATATGAAAAGAATATGTTTTAATATCTCAAAATTTTGCTCGGTGAAAAATAGATATATATTATAGTATCTTATATATAGGTACTTTATGATGCCAAGTAGCATTTAAAAACAATATTTTTAGTGGGTTTAACGAGGAAATAACGTTTTAGTAAGCATATCAGCATATTAATTAGTTTGCATACTCATATTAAAACGATTAGTAAAAACTCACAAGTAAGACACTACGACAGATGTAAATTAAATATATTAAATGCATATTTGTTACTATATTCTCACGAGTTCACGTGTAATGACAGCGACGTGATCAAATAGCCACGAGTTTACGTGTAATGGCAGTGACGTAATCAAATATCCATGAGTTTACGTGTAATGAAAGTGACGTGATCAAATATCCATGAGTTTACGTGTAATGGCAGTGACGTAATCAAATATACATGAGTTTACGTGTAATGACAGTGACGTGATCAAATCT